GGAGCATCATGATCATCTCTGACCTCCTGCACATTGCAAGCCACAGAACCTTGTCCACTCCAGAAATAGACCCCTAACCTCTGGCTGAGTGACTGAAGTCTTCAAATCATAATTTAAAGACTTCAAGTTAAGAGAATCCACCATTTACATGAGTTTAAACCTGCAGGTGACCCGTGACTCTTGCTGCAGAGGAAGGCGAAAAACACCCCATGGTCTCAGCCAATCTGACCTGGGGGAAAATTCCTTCCCAACCCCAAATATGGTGATCAGTTAGATCCTAAGCACATGGACAAGATCCGGCAGCCAGACACCTGGGAAAGAATTTTCTGTAGTAACTCAGAGCCCTCCCCATCTGGTGTTGGGGATTTTTGCTACTGGCTCATGCAGTTCAGTTATCTGTGGTCCCAGTTCCCTTAGTTAGGGTGAAGTCCAGGCTATGAAGTGTGTGGTTTATGCAGATGCAGTGAGGGCCATTCCTTCTGAAGGGACATTGATGATGTGGGGGAGGTCACTCACCTCGTTATCTGAATTAAAGTAACCCCCCCCCCCCCAGCTTAACAATGGCATACAGCATGACCTTTCAGGCAGCATATGTCTGCGGCAGCTCAGCCTCCGGGCTTTGCATTGGATGATACAGGAACATTGGGTCTCTTGGCCATTACAGAAGTAGACTGTAGCGTAAAAGAAAACTTCTGAAGCCAGTTCACTGCTCAGCTGACAACCCCATGGCTACAATTCTTCCACAATGTCAGCTGTTTACTGTGGCAACCCTCACCCCCACCACTGGTGGCTTTATACAAGTTTTATTCCCTCATGGGCACATTGAGAGACTGCCTGGCTGCATACCTGCCACTGGCTTACAAATGGTCCCTCTTTGTGCCTCTGCCATGTGGACACTTTGCTGAGTCAAATCAGTCCCCATTCATTACGCCCACTCACTTTACACTGGTGACTGATGAGTACCACTCACACTTTGCACTTTCCCAGGTTTTCACTTATGCACAAATGGGCAATAATATAATTTGCATTATAGTCATGCTCAAAATGTACCAAGCACTGTAATCACAGATAGGAACAACGGTCCCTAATTGCAGCTTACATTCCTGGACCTGATTCAGGACAATTTATTCCAAAATTGATGGAAGGATTTTTTCACATTTCCTCCTTGGTTGGTGTCACATGATCTCATTGTTTCTCTAACTATCCAGATAGTTTGGTGCACTCTCTCCCTTTACAAGGTGTGTGCACATTCTTTCACCTTCACAGTGACCAGAGCAGTCTGGTGCAACTTTGTATTCTCTTTTTTTAAATGGGTGTACTATGTGAAATTACCTTCCTTTCAGCTGGTGGAATGGATCAACAGGTTCAGCAACGGAAAGAACAGTCCTTTGGTCAGCAAGCTTCATTCTTGAAGTGTTGGAGAATATTGTGACCACAAAACACCTTTAAAAAAGTTAACATAATTAGAAAACACACACAACTTGGCTTGAGGAAACCTGGGCTCTCATCCCAGCTCTGCCATGTGCCCTCTCCTCTGATAGTTACTGGAGCTTACCCTTCTGAAAGGCCTGGTTAGCAAGCTGTTAATCATATAGCTTCTTGAGTGCCTGATTAGACTTTCAGGCCCCAGGAGCAGGTAATAAAGTAGAGCTGAACAACTGTCTGAGGTCTGAGCAGGGCATTAATTCTCTGCTGAAAATCAGAGAGGGCCTTTCCCATTTCCTCCATCAGCATCAGCCATGCAGCATACACTGTTTTATAGCTTGTGGCCACAAAAGGCCAGCCGAGAATGGAAAGCATGACTGATGGTTCGATCCAAAACACAGATTCTGTGAACATCAATCCCTGGCTGCCAAGAGTTTTAGTGACTCAAATATCAACACCACATGCTGAAAAATCTCAATCTAGGGTAGATCAAACATCAGGAAAACAGTTGCAAGAGCAAACAGAGAAAGACTCTCCATGTTTATCAATACAACCAATTTATTAAGGTTACAACATTAATGGTGCCAGCAGGAGAGATGTTCACAGATGTTTGGAAAGAGATACCTTAATACTGTTTTAAAACAAGTTCCCCTGTAATTTAGGTACAAAATACTGAGAGGCCACACATTGAACAACAATATATACACAAAGTGATCCAATTGTTGTCCTATATTGCGGTTCTTTTGGACTTTGTGCCCATGGTAGTTCAGGCATCACCAAATGCGTTTAAAAGAGAACTTGATAAATTCATGGTGGTTAAGTCCATTAATGGCTATTAGCCAGGACGGGTAAGGAATGGTGTCCCTAGCCTCTGTTTGTCAAAGGATGGAGATGGATGGCAGGAGAGAGATCACTTGATCATTGCCTGTGAGATCCACTCCCTCTGGGGCACCTGGCATTGGCCACTGTCGGTAGACAGGATACTGGGCTAGATGGACCTTTGGTCTGACCCGGTATGGCCGTTCTTATGTAAATGAAAGCTATGACTTACTGTCACAATTACAGAGAGATTTTTTTTAAAGTCAGCTGATTCCTGCTAATTGTGCCCATAGCTAATCTAGGTAACCATGAGCTCTTGTCACTGTTAGCCTTGTCCTCCCTCCCCATTCACTCTTACATCCTGCAAGCTGGTAGGTGAGGTAGATTCCTGCAGAACCCCCATTGGCCTCAGTGGGGCTTTGTGCCGGTTCAAGGATCCAACTGCAGGGAGCTGCAATGCAGGATTAGGGCCTCATCTTGCAAAGTCTTTGGGGCAGAGACTCTTACAGTGTGGTTTTACAACGGGGCCCTGATCCTGACTGGGGCCTCTGAGCGCTATCATGATACAGATAAAGAATAAAATCTGTGATTTGGGGGCATTTTCACAAGTCTGTGCTGCAGCTGTGAAATACATTCTATAAGGGCACCATCAACACGAGAAAATTGATTGAGGTGGGGGAGAGAAGGCTCATTATGGGGGTCTCAGTGATATAACATTTTGGTCTTGCATGTGTGGATGGGTTCAAAAAGTGTTTGAATATTTAAGTCCCCACCACTCTGAATTTTGTTTCACAGATGGCTCCGATGATGCGATGTGGTGGCTTAACACTTTAAAGTGGAAAGAACAGGAGTACTTGTGGCACCTTAGAGACTAACAAATTTATTTGAGCCCACGAAAGCTTATGCTCAAATAAATTTGT